CCCTTTGTGCTTCCAAAGAACACGGGAGGGAGAGGGGGATTTTTGTTTCTTTTTTAAACGGCGTCGCCTCTCCAGCAGTGGCCCCTGTGTAGTGGCTGATATTGTACAGCTTGGCGGGGCGGGGGGAGGCAGCGCACAGGGATTGGCTGGCAAGTAACCTAGGCGTCAGATTAATGAAGTGCTCCTGTCAGTCCAGAGTGTCACGCCGAAACTCCTCTTGATGTGCTCATAAATCAAAGTGACGGCGCCTGTTACCCCAGTAGCTGCACCCACTCAGCTGCGTCTAATGTAAACAGAGTGCAGACAAAATGCGTTAAGGAACTCGGACCCCATTGCTGGGGAGGAGTATGGGGATCACAGGGGCGATGGGGAGGGACAGGATCCTGGATTGTTCCCTACTAGCCCCCCCCTTTCATCTCCCCACCCCCACAACACGAGAGAACGGAGCGCCCCAATGGGCGCTGGTGACTGGCAGAGTGCAGCTCAGGAATTACTTTCTTTGTGTTTGAGATTTTTATCGGTGGGCAGATAAGCTTCATACTTCATTGGTTCTATCAAGAGCGTGCCGCGGGTGACCTCTGAAAGTGAAAGTGTCCAGAGAAACCCACAGACTATGGCAGCCGCACATCTTGCGGTGGGGGAGGGAAGGGCACAAGCGGCCAGGCAACACCAGAAGGAAACTTTATTTTCCCTGGCAGAATGTATTACCCGCTCCCTACTGCTGTAGGAGGGAGCTGGAGGGATGTGGCTTGCTGGAGGGCAAAAGGGTGGGGGTAGAGGGTATAGCTGGGTGTGGGGGGGGCTATTTTTTTTTTGTTTGTCTTTTGCAGAATTTGTGCTATAAATAACGTATTTGCAACTAACCCACCTGATTTTTGGGCAGGGGAGGAGGCTGGGCTATTAGAAACCCTACATAAGAACGGCCATACTGGGTCAGACCAATGGCCCATGGAGCCCAGTATCCTGTCTTCCAAAAATGGCCGATGCCAGGTGCTTCAGAGGGCACAAACAAGTAATCATCGAGTGATAAAACCATCCAAGACTCATGAAGCGTTTTGGGGCACACGTGGCCCAAGCCCCAGCCAAAGCCCCCATGGGATTATTAATTTTGAATGACATTGAAGCCAGACAAAGCTGATGTGACTTTACACATACGCGCACACACCAAGCTCAGCAGTTTGATGGTTAAATTCGAACCTGGAACCGAGTGTGACTGGCCTAAAAATGGCCATGACCCCTCCCCTCCCAAAGGGCAAAGGTTAGTATTTATTCAGTGCAGCTGTGGTTTTTAGAGCAGGAGACTGGGAGGCAGGACTCCTGGGTTCCGTTCCCAGCTCGTACCCCTGATCTCAGGCAAGTCACTTCTCTGTGTGGCCGTCTGTAAAATGGGTGCGATCCTCCAGTGCCCCACACAGGGCTGTAGAGTCGGAAGTACTTTGAGATCCCCTGCTGACAGGTGCCGCGGAGAGGTGGTCTCGCCCTGCTGATTTTGTGCGTTGAGTCTCTTGCCCATATACATGGCCCCTGGGAGGTGGTGCCACAGCTGCTGCTGCCCCCGCCAGGGTTCCTAGGACTCTGGAGCAGGTAGATGGAAAAGATAAAGAGCCCTATTGAGTTATGAGGTGAAAGTGATTTGCCCCGGGGATCCTAATGACTTAATCCGCTCCCAATTTCCTTCTGTTTTACAGCCTGGAAGTTGAGTGAATGAGGCAGTGTTCAGGTGGCCTGATGTAACAGGCAGGAACCTGTGCTTGCCGAAAGGCCCATGGGGAAGGGAGAAAGTAAACTCTGGCTGCCGTTGGTAACAAAGGCAAGGGCTGGGCTCCCCGCCCTCCCCTCCAGGCCTGTGTGTGTGCGTCTCACACCCCCGTAAAACTCTTCCCAACGCGAATGACTGTCTGGCAACCACTGAGCGCAACTTCTGCCTCCTTTGGGGCTTTCGGGGATCCGCTCTCCTCGTATCTTTTCCCCACCAAAGTGCTGTGAAGATAGTCTTCCCTGGTCTCCTGGCTAGGAGTCTGTCTCACCCCCAGCATTCCTGGCCTTGCCTTGAAGTACGCGGGCTACCTTAGCGTGCGCTGTCTCCCAGGCACCCAGGAGTTAGAAAATGAAGGGTTTTTTTCTCCGAAAGGAGATCACTATAGTCTGTGCCTTTGTCACCAAGCGCAGGGAAGCCCCGAGACTTGGGGGATAAAGCCCTGTTGATTTCTCCTTCGGGAACCATCCTGGCCAGGAGATGTGCAAGACGGGGTCTCGTCCGTCTCTGACTCAGTGATTGAGAACCAACAATCTAAATATCCTACTATTCTTCAAGAAAACCCAAAAGCTCACCTTCCTTTGCAGATGCTAATGATTAACCCTCAGCCCAGCACTGAGGTGAGTCAACATCCTTATCCCAGTTGTAGATGGGGAAACTGAGGCACGGCAAAGTGAGTGACTTGACCAGTGAGAGACAGTGAGTACTGGTGACAGAGTCCAGGGCTTCTGGTTCCCAGCTATGCTGTTTAACCGCCCTCCTGCTTGCGGTCAGAAGCTTCCAGGTTTATCTCAGTTGTGTCCAAAATGATCCAAACCTCTTGCACCTACGTGGGAAATTTCCAGGAAGAGTCTTTTCTCCCAAGTTTTACCACGTGTCTCAGCTCCTGGTTAGAAGCTCAGGGTTTAGTTCAGGTTTTGTGGGCAGAGGTTCAGTTTGGATCAGTTCTTCATGCTCAGTATGAGGCAGGGCCGGATGACTGTTTCACAATGGCTCTAAGCTGTGAATCCTCACCCAACCTTATTATAATTATAATTTATTATCAGTATTACCCCGGCGCTTAGGAGCCATAGCCATGGACTGGGGCACCGTTGCGCTAGGCGCTGTACAAACACAGAACAAAGGCGGTCGAAGCCCCCGAAGAGCTTACAACCTAAGTGAGAACATCGACTGTAAAAAGCTTTTTCTTCGGGCCAGACAACTTGGGGTGGGGGGGTGGGGAATTGCGAGGTATCTGTGTGTGGACTCAGGTTAGGGGCAGTGCTCGAGTGAACTGTGCAGTGAAGACCAGGCCTTGTGGATTTTTACTTCTCCAGGAGCTCCCTGTCTTGGGTTAATGTGTATCTGAGGTGAGAAAAGATTTCTGGAGCAGCAACTGGAAGTTGCCCAACTTTCTCTGCCCTCAGAGAGGCAAAGCCTCCTTAACACCTGACATTGGCCCGCCTGTGTGCTGACAACAGGTCCAAGGAATCCAGAATTCGAAGGGTTACGGCAAAGCCCATGGCTGTGATGCGAGTGGGCAGGTACAGACAGACTCCCTCTCTCCCACCTTGCCACAGATCAGCGGCTGCCCTTTCCCTCCTCCCCTGTTCAAACCTCTCCCCCTCTAGTTACTTCTCCTCCGTTTCTTGTCACCTCCCCAGAGATGGCCCCAGCCTAGCAGGGTTATACCAGTTAGAGCCGTGGTTCTCAACCAGCACACCGCTGCAGCCCATGTGACATCCTCAGGGCCATACGGGTAGTATATATGTCGTGTGGATGCAGCCCATGTAAACACAGAGAGCTGCCTTTGTGGCCCACAATGGTAATAGGTTGAGAACCACTGAGTTAGTCAGCTGATAGGTGGGTGTCTTATCTGAGCAGTACAGTCTGTGGTCTTCCAGGCAGCTGCTTTACCTTTCTGTGTTGGTTTCTGCTCCTGCGGGCTGGGAATTGGGGGCCTGGGTTCCTTCTCCGGGGTGTAAAATTAAAGGGGTGGGGGGACCAAAGACTGGCAATGCACGTGATTAGGGGCTTGGAACACTGCAACCTGAACAGCAGGTATAAAGCGTGTGCTTGCCCACCCTACAGCGCAGTTGAATCTTGCCTTTGTTTTGTATTTGTGCAGTACCTAGCACCATGGGATCCTTGGCTGGGACAGGGGCGTCTAGGCACTGCTGCAATACAAATAATAGCATACAGTATTAACAGATGGGATAGAGAAGGGAGATCAGGAACCTCCACTTCCCCCGTCTCATCAGTCAAGAACACGGGAACGTTTGATGCAACTGTGAGGTGGCACCTTCAAAAATTGAGCAAAGGGAATACAATTACACACAGAGCCTGTGGAACTCATTGCCACAAGTTAGCCTGGAGGCCCGTGAGCTGAGCAAGATTCAAGAAGAGGTTAAACACTTGTATGAACAGCAAGGCTATCCAGAGTTACAACCGTAAATACTCAGAGGAGGGGGGAGAAATCAGTTTAGCAAGGAATACAAACGGTCCTGTTACAGGCCATAAGCCAACTGTTCGTCCCAGGAGATTAAGTGAACATTTCCTAGAGGCCAAGTTCTTATACGTTATCTTTTACGGCAGTGCGTAGGCACCAGCCAAGAAGGGGGCCCCATTGTGCCAGGTTCTGTACAAATTGTCCAACAACTACCTGACAGCAGGCTTGTGATGCTTAAATAACTAATTATTTGGTAAAAATAATTATTTCTCTGTAAAAGGGGGATGTTATTTACCCACCTTGGCCTCTTTCTAGCCTGGGAAACACCCCTGGTAACTGTGGTTGTAATATAGGGTTAATGATAACTTTGCCTTCTTCGCAGGAAGCTCAACGGGCTAATGTTTCTAAGGTGTGTGGAGAGCCTCAGCCAGCCACCGAATAGCAGTGCAAAGCAGCGGTAGTGTTTTTTATCCCCCTGTGTGATCCCAATGCACAGGCGTTGGAAATACTCATCGAACAGATGGAGCTGGAGCGCTCCGTGCTCTAAGCAAGCACACACTCTCTCTCCTCCCTCTTTTTTTTTTTTTCCTCTCTTCCTTCTCCTCCTCTTCCGATAGATCAAAGACTCTGTCTTGGCTACATGCTGACTGGCTACCGAGGACCAGCGATTTAGGACAAAGGTCTGTGCTGACCAGGCGTAGGGCTGATGCCGGGATCCGGCACTCCGTGCTGCTCAGCGGGGCCCTTATTCCCTGCAAGGCCTCGGTTGCAGTGTCGAAAATAATGTTTTGATTTTTTTTTCCTTTTGTCTCCTAGCAGCCATTAGGGAATAAACAGCTGGCATTCCAACAGCAGCTACTGCAGATGCAACAGCTGCAGCAGCAGCACTTGTTAAACCTTCAGCGACAAGGGCTGGTCAGCCTTCAGCCGGGACAAGGCACCGTTCCCCTGCAGACCCTTCCACAAGGTAAAGCGCGTGGCAAACCTCCTCGCTCTTGTTCTGTCCTTTAAAGCCCGAGCCCTCCGCTCCAGTCGGCCTGGTGGGCGTTACCCATGCGTAGCAGCTACAAACGCAGCCTCCGAGCTCTTAGGCTTTTAGTAGCAACTGGGTGGTTTTCAATGCACTTTAGGCCTGCTTGAGTCAGTCTCTCTCCAGCACAATCATGGGCTATACAGGAGCGGTAACAGTGATTCATAGAATCAATAGCCGTAAAATTGCATAGGAGCAGTTGAGGTATATTCTGTAAGTTCAGGGCCCAATCCTGCTGCCAATGAAGGAGGCGATGGGAGTTTTGCCTTTAACATCGGTGGGAACAGGATCAGGCCCTGAGTTTGCGTATGTGGTTCCTGTTGTTTAATGCCCTGGCTGATAGAGGTTCCTGTGTGGGGTTGGTGGTACAGGCAGACACTGGGAACGAGGGATGCGTGCCCAGAAGGCAGAGTTCTTATGCCTGGAGAATGAATGCCCTGTTTGCCTGTGGAGGGGTGGCCCATGTGGGTGAAGGGCAGAGGCCAGAGCAAGGCACGATTTTCTCCCAGATTCACTCAGGACTCTCCCAGGTTTGGGTCATGCACTGGAAACTCCTTCCAGCTCATTCCGAGAGCTTCATGATCCTTTCGAAGCAAGCCTGGGGCCAGGGCCAAATGACTGTTTACAGCTGCCTGTTGAAAGTGTGCGGCTCCGGCAGGCAGGACAGAACGCCAGGTGAAACTGGGCCGTTTCCACTGAGCGGTGGGTTCATTGGACCCCAACACTCGGAACAAAACTTTGTGGGGGAGTCTGGCTGCCTCGTGTAGCAAAGCCTGAAAGAAAGGTTCCCTCGCATGCCTGCAAACCAGACCCACTGAATTTTCTGTGGCATTAGTCGAGGCAGCAAGAGGGAAGCTGTTGCTACCATGGCTAGATAGCGCTCAGGCCTTCAAGGCTGTCAGGCTGGTGTTCTTCACCCCCCTTCGATTAAACTAAAAGCTGCCCTTCGCTGGGTTCTTCTCAGCGCAGGTTACTGTTGGTCAGCGGTGGTTCTCTGGTCCATATCTTCACCCTTGTCTCCGTGCGTGTGTTTTCCTCCTCTCTCCCTTGACCCCATCCGGCGTGTAGCTGTGTGTCCCTCGGACCTGCAGCAGCTCTGGAAAGAGGTCACCGCTACCCAGCCTGTAGAAGACAGCATCAAGCAAGAGGGCCTCGACCTGACCACCAACACTTCAAACTCTACCTCGTTTTCGGCCGCCAAGGTCTCGCCTCCCATTTCCCACCACTCTCTCCCCAATGGACAGAGCGCCATGCTCACGCCAAGGAGGGACAGGTAGAACCAAGCTGGGCCAGCCTTTTATTTTGCCCTGTAGGTCTAAGAAAAGGCTAGATGGCTAATGGATCCATTGTTTGTTATTGGGAGTGGGGCCAGCATAGTCCAGTGGACTAGGAATTGAGGGAGCTGGGCTCTGTAGCTACGTAGGCAAGTCGCTTAACCTCTCTGCGTCTCAGCTTACCCGTCTGGAAAATGAGCTGTAATCATGTTCACCAGCCTCATAAGGCTTGACTGATGCATTTGAGAGCCTTGGCTGAAAGATGCGAGGAGATGTGTTAATATCTTGGGGTGGTCCTGGTCTGGAAGCTTCTTTGGAACTGCAGTAGCCAGCCTGTCATGTGTAAGATCCCCAGTGTAACTGTTCGTTCCTTCTCCTCCATCTCTCTCTCTCTCTCTCTCTCTCTCTCTCTCTCTCTCAGCAGCTCTTCTCATGAAGAGAACCCCGGCTCCCACCCTCTGTACGGACACGGAGAATGCAAGTGGCCTGGTTGCGAAACCCTCTGTGAGGACTTGGGACAGTTTGTCAAGTAGGTCGCTCCCCTACTGTGTCTCTCCGGGGCGGTCGTTTCATTCCTGGCTCCCCCAGGTTGTGCAGCCAGTGTGGTGGTTTGCAAGTTGCCCTGCGCTCAGGGGCCATCCAGACCCAACCCGTCGCTAGCACCCTGCACTTCAGTACTGCTTTGGGCAGAAGCGGGAGGGGGTGGTCCTTGCACCTGCACCTTGGGCCGAGGGCAGTAGAGGTAGGTCAGAAAAGCCATGACTTCCAACTGTCCGGGGTTAGGCGGAACTCATTGCCTCTTCAGAGGCTACAGGTGTGGCCTTAAAAAATTGACTTTTCCACAAGTGGCTAGTGATTTTTCTGGGCACCCAACTTAGCACCTTGCAGGGGTTTGATTTCCAGAGGACTCAGCACTGCCTGAAAGTCAGGCCCCTTTGAGGGGGAGGCGGGTCTCAGATTGAGCCCCCAAAATCACTCGTCACTTTTTGGAAACTCTGGGCCTTCGTGTCTCTGTGCCCAAGTTCCCCATCTGTACCGGGGGGTGCTAGCACTCCCTGTCTTGGAGTTGGAAACTCTTCAATTCAGCCAGTGGGTGGACTGTAGATTCAAGCGTAATAGCCAAATTGGGGGCCCACCCCATCCCATAACAAGGAGGTTTAGTCTGTACATTCAGGGGCATGTGAGAGGGATGGGGGGCGGGTATGCTAGAGGAGAAGAGACTGTAAGAGACCTAGAGAAATCACAGGACGTGGGTGGGGGGAGGGCAAGAGAAGACAAACGAGGAAAGTTAGCAGCTCACCCTCTGTAAGGGGGGAAGAGAGAGAGAGAGCGCGCAAGAGAGAAGAGAAAGAAACAGATGGCAGCGCGGCAGCCTGCTGACACCGCTTGTGGGCTCTGTCACTGACTGATTAACTCCGCTGTCTAAGAGCCCTCCGCTAGCGTCAGGGTCAAACAAATTGTTTTCACGCTTCGTCAGAGGTTTACTTAATTAGTTCATTTGCAATTAGATCTCTTTGTAGCCGGGATTTTTAGCAAAGACATCAGAAGAAACTGACGGGTTTTCTTTCCTTTTTTTTTTCCTTTCCCCCTCTCTGCACTGAAGGGAAAGTTGTGGGAGTTGGGGCAGAGATGCACTGTGCGTGTGTATGTCTATTTGTGTCTGAAAGACTTTTGTTTTACAAACAGCGCGTCAGCTGATCTCGCCAGCCATGTGCCTGTCTGCCTCCCCACTTTGTTCAGGGAGGGAGTACCGGAGGGTGGAACAGGTGCCAGCTGCAGTGAATACCAAGGCAGGCTCAGTTGGGGGGTAGGGAAGAGTGACCGCTGTGCATGTGGGGAGATGGGTTAAGAAGGGGAAAGCATCTTTATTCAAAGGAAAGAGCCAGGAGGAGAGGACAGGGGGCATTGTGCTATTGCAAGACGATGCCTTGCTGCAGCTAATGAAGTAAGGAAGGCAGAGGAGCCAGAGAGGGGTGCCACCTAGTGGTTAGAGCAAGGGGCTTGGTGACTCAGGACTCCTGGGTTCAATTCCCTTCTCTGCCTCTGGCTTGCTGCCTGACCTTAGGTAAGATTTCGCCTCTGCACCTCAGTTTTCCCATCTGTACAATGGGTCTAATACTTAACTGACCTCACAAGTGGATTGCAAGCAGGGATGGGCCCAACCCACTAGCACTGAAACTAGATCAGAAGCTCAGCAGTGTTTGGATCGCTGGTGTTGGCTTGACTCATGCAGAGCGGGGCACCATCTGTGAAGTACCAGTCTGAATCCTGAGCTTCTCCAATGTTTTGGGTAGAGACAGTTGAAACAGAGGGAAGAATTTTTGCCAAGATGTTTGTAAAAAATTTGTCTCCATTTTTAAATTTGAAATGTTTCAACCAGCTTGAATTCTGAGTGCATCTGAATCCACAGGGCCAATTTGTACCCACCTGTAGCAAAGAGTTAACCAAGTTATTGGGCTTCTTATACATGCTGGAGCAGTTTGAGGAACTCCACCCCTGGGCACAGGAAGGAAGAATGAAACTTTCTGACACTGAGATGAAAGAATGAAAGCATTTTCCAGATAAGACCCCCACCCCCACCCCCCGCCCCAATTTTACACTTTCCTCCTTCAGCAGAGAATGCCAAAACTCTTGACAGCTTATTCTTCGCAGAAGTACCCATGTCTTAGTCCCACCATGCAGAGGAGCAAGGAGTAAAGACCCCTAGTCCATCTCCAGCTAGATAGGTAGTAGTGATGAAAGAAACTCAAACATTGTGTCGGGTTAGTTCAGATGCAAGTCTGGAAGCTTGTCCCCAACATCTTGTTTTTGCAAGATAGGGCTGGAAATCTCCCATAAACAGGTTTTTCAGTGAGAATCCTGGTACCTCCTGCTGCTGATTGATGGGTAGATCCCATCTGGACAACTTCTCCCATGGTATCTCTGTATTTTGTCCCCAGTCCTGGTTGGAAGCCGAGTCACCAAAATGACCATCATTTGCACACCAGTAGTATGTTTGGTTCCATCATGGATAGAGGCATTGCCTTTACACCTAGGAGCGTACAACCTAAACCAGACATAGACAGTCCAGGGCCAGATTTTCTAACAAGTTAGGCATGCATTGTGTGCTCGCAATTCACGACTAATTTGTTTGCATGGTTACTATGGTTGCACTCGCAAATGTCACTGGCACATACAATTACCTGATTTGTGTGTCTGGTAATTACACCTGTAAATTAGATGTGCATTTTGCCATGAGACTACACACCTCACTGATGTGAAAATCTAGCCCATAATGCGACATGGGCCCATAGAGCCCCTGTTGAACCACCTTTTCCAAATCTGTGTATCTTGGAAAGTGGAGAGGGTTCAACCATCCAAACCCGCATGGTGGATTATTGTAGCAAGACTTCCTGGAAGAAGTGAGTTTTAAATGGCTTTGAAGACAGGGAGGTTGCCTGGCACAGCATGCGGGAAGTTCCAAACAGAAGGGATGGTGCGGAAGTCAAGAGAAATGAAATACCGTTAGCTGCACATACATACGATCCTTGAGGAGATTTACGGTGGCTTCTGAGGGAAAATCACCTGCTGGTTAGAACACAGCACTTGGGAGCCTGACTTCGTTTTTATAACGTACCCGGGGTTGTGATGGAGAATCCATCACTGGCAATTTCCAAACCAAGACTGGCTATTTTCCTAAAACATCTGCTGGGTTAAGTCAGGGAAGTTGTATAACACAGGCCATACAGATCAGACTAGGTGATCACAATGGTCTCTTCTGGCTTTATAGCCTATAAAACTATATTCCTGGCGCTGCCGTGGACTCTCCCGTGTGAGCCCAAGCAGCTACTTCCCCTCCCTGTGCCTCAGTTTCCCTGATACCTACTTCCTGGGGATGGAGAGTGGAAACTAAATTAATTCATGTCTGTAAAGGCTTTGGAGGACTCTAATAATAATATTTAGCTCTTACGAAGTGTTTTCATCTCTGGCTCTTACAACACAGGTCAGTATCATTGCGCTGATTTACAGAAACTGGTGCACGGAGAGATGCAGGGATTTGCCCAAGGTTACGCAGCAAGTCAGTGGCAGACCTGGGAATAGAAACCATGTCTCGAGACCTGGTGTAGTGTCCTGTCCATTGGGCCACACCTCCCTAGATGGAAAGCAGTGTGGAGGGGGGTCAAATGCTAATTTGGTGAAGATCAGTGTGAGGCCAGGTGACTTATTTATTTCTGATCTGATTGACCTGCCCCTAAAGAGACTTTTTAAAGTCATGGAATGATAAAGGAGATGCCAAACATCCCCCATGTAAAGTAAAATCCCAGACACTGGAGAGGAGGGTTTTCCCCTCACTTGCCCTCTTGAGTCACATTACAGCAGCAGGACAATTACACTGCGAGTTGGCACTCGGGTGACTGTGGGCCAGATCCTCAGCTGGTACCAGTAAGCCCATTGAGCTAGGCTGGCTTGACACCATCTAAGGATCCCGCCCCGTTTGTACCGTGTGTGGTGGGAGCAGAGGGAAGATCCAGACCAGGTGGAAGGGCAAGAGTAAGGGATGGAACTGACTGAGCAGGGGGACTGGAGAGAGAGATCAAAGGGGGACGAATGGGGAGAGTTCAGCATAGCGTGACTGGGGAGCATGGGACACGCGGACTCTAGCTTGGATATTGCTCTCGGCGTGTCAGCAGCAGCTGCCCCTGGCCCAGGGAGCTCAGTTTCCCGACACCGCAGCATCCAGGAACACAGGCTCTCTGCTGTTTTGTTGCATGGCTCTGGTTGACATTAGAGGGAGAAGTTTGATAGCAGGGATCTGTCAAGCGGCACGGCTCAAGGTGATGGGAAAAGAGGGGGCCGCAGAGCTCAGAAAAAGGGGAGAGAGGACACCGATGGCAGGCCGCTGACAGTGCAGAGCGCTCGCCGCATGGGGCTCGGGAGGCTCGCGCTCTGTGCTCGTTTAGTTAGCGGGACTGACGGGGATCCGCCCGTTGTGTTTCTTTCCCAAATCCCCTCACCTGCGGCTGAGTCTGAAACAAGGGTTCCCCCCGTTTGCAAGACCGAGGGCTGCTTTAGACAGCACCATCGGGGCAGGTGTATTTAAAACATCAAAACGTAATGCAGCCCTAATGTTTTCTTGCACCTTGAATTCACCCTGGCGGAGAATTATCCCCTCTCGTTCGGCACTCACCAGTGCCCTGAGCGAGCTTTCCTCGTGTGCCGCGGTTGCAGGGAGAGGCAGGACTTGTGCTGCATTGTCAAGCTCAGAAGGCCATGCTTTGAGCGCCCGTGGTTTAGTGAGATGGGGCCTGGAGGGGAGACGGCACAGAGCTGTGTGGGGCAGGATTGATTCCTGGCTGGAGGGCGATGCTAGTCTGAGAGGCAGGGAAGGGCAAGGCATCCCCCTATTCCAGCGAGAGTCCACAGCCCGGCACCTCTCACTGAGCTATCTCCACTCTCCCTGGGTTCCAGACCTGGGGATTTCTCTGTCTGTCCTGACATCCCGGTCCATGCTTGTGGCTGGGACCTCCATGTGGTTGAGCGAGCAGAGTTCCTCGCAGGCAGGGAGCACTCAACCTGGAATCATGACTAAGACTGGTGCCGTATGTTCTTCCGTGAAAGTGAGCACAGGCCATTTTGAGGTCATACAAGTGTCCCAGCAAGGCCCTAACTTTGTAAGGAGAAGGCTCCGCTGCCGAAGGTGGCCATGAGGTTATTGTTTTGATTGCAGAGAGAGGAAGGGGAGGGCCTTGTGGGTAAGGTATGGGACCCTGGGTTCTAGTCCCAGCTCTGCCGCTGACCTGGCTCCATCCCTTCCTTGGTCTCTGTTTCCCCATCTGTAAAATGGAGCTGATCATATTTACCTGCCTGGGAGAGGGCGTTTGAAAGGCTTCATGCATGAATGTTTGTGAGGCACTGAGAGTCTAGGATGCGGAGCACCTCATAAATGCCACCTCCTGCCTTTGTGGAGTCCTTTATGGGATGCAAATGAATCCCCACGATGCTGCCTGTGTCTGCCTGGAAACCTGCTCCTTGGGTGCAGTCAGTCTTACCAGGTACATCCTGGAAATGGGATTTTCCAGCTGAGCTTAAGGAGCCAACTGTTGTACCATACTCTCACCTCCCCTGGGGCTTGGCTTGCAGGCTCACCCTCCACAGGTACCAGCTGTTTATTTTGTATTTCAATGGACTCCCTGTGGCAAATTATAGCTGAGGCGATCCAAGTGCTGTTGGGGAAGGGGCTGAGAGACTGTGTAGTGCAGGGGATAGGACACTGGCTTGGGAGGTAGACGACCTGCTCTTCTCGGCTCTGCCAGTGACCTGCTGCGTGACCTTGGCCAAGTCACGTTGCCGCTCTGTGGCTCAGTTTCCTCTCCCATGCTTTGTCTTATCTGTTTAAATTGCGAACTTATCAGGGCAGGCACTGCCATGTAATGTAACTAGCAGATTGGGGCCTCCATTGCTCCTGTAATAGAGATAAGAGGTGCTTGCAGGCCATAGGTAGGTGCGGACATGGGCCGGTAGGAGGCGCTGTGTTTCATGGTGGGCTCTGGGAACTGTCAATCTAAAATCCGTCGTTCTCTGTCTAGACACCTCAATACGGAACACGCACTTGATGACCGAAGCACGGCCCAGTGTCGAGTTCAAATGCAAGTGGTGCAGCAGCTGGAAATACAGGTAGGTGCAAACCAAAGAGACTTGAAGGGTGGTGTGGAGTCAAACTCTTTACTTGCCCTGCGTATAAGTGGCAGAATTAAGCTGCTCTCCATCGGGAGGGAATAGCTGGGTCTAGGGTGACCAGATGTCCTGATTTTATAGGGACAGTCTCAATATTTGGGGTTGTGACTTAAAGAGCCAGGAAACGTGATGTTTGACAAATTGTCAGACCTCCTAGATCTGCTCACCTGGGCCTTAGCTACAACAATGTGCAATCTTATATAGGCAGAAAAATAGTTGCCAATTGCACCTGCAAATTAAGTGCACATTTTGCCATGCAGTCACCCATCTATCTTAAGGATAAGGGGTCCTGTCCCAAACCCAAGTGCGGGTGGGTGGGCAACCAACCACTCAAACCGTGGTAGATCACACATTCATGTACATATGAAACAACACATTGAATGGCTAGATCAAAAAAGAGAGACTACCGTTGTAACCAACGTAAGAAATGGAGGCTGGGTATTTCAAGGGGAAATTCAGTGGAAGATGGGCACCTGATTTCTGCAGGCTCCTCTGAAAATTTCAGCCAGAACGCCGCATGTACTGTGCATTTGCTTCCATAGCATGTGGGGGTTTGACACTGGCACAGTGTAACCAGTGTGTTGTGTGTGTTTTTTGTGTTGCTATCTATGGCACCATGTGTACATGAATGTTGTGTAATGATTGCAACCCATGGGACGTGCAATATTCTGTAGCCAACTCTAGAGCCAAATCCTAGTCCTCCTGAAGCCAGGAGAGCTGGTGTATGCTCAGCACTTCCAAATATCAGGCCGTGTATTATGTGCCCGAATGCAGACTTCGGAGCTCACCGTCAGGCCCCTGTTTTTGGAAATCTTGCCCTTGATTTATCCTGTGCATTTCATACGAGCTGTCTCCCCCCCCATGTAATTAGTTAACAAAAGAGGGCGATTCAGAAGAAATTTAGGCTTTCCGCTGAGGTTTGCGAAGCGATAGAGATTCAAGGCAAGAGAGAGCCAGGGTGGCTGTTGAGAGCGGCAGCTGCAGAAGGCTCTCGCTAGCGCAGGCAAGCTTGGGTAAAGGGACAGGGTGGTGCCGCCTGGGTGAGAGGAGGAGATAATCTATGAGCACTGCCCATGCTGAGTATTTAAATGACGGACATACGGCATATAGGCGACTGTCTCCACATCTCTCGCGCACGTGCTGAATGCAAAGATGCCTGGTGCGTGTGACCGTGCGTAGGAACTGTAGTGCCGTGTGACACGTGTGTATCCATTGCACGGGGAGGAGGGTGCACGCACGTTGTCTTTTTATTTACAGTTCCTCCCATGGACTTCTCTGCCTGCCCTTTCCTGGGAAATACCAGCCCTGGAGCTTGTGTGACTGACTCCGGGGGTACTCTTGTTATCCAGGTTGCCTTGGCTGCTAGATCACACGTGTGCTGGGGCGTGGGGGGAGGAGGTGGCAGAGGAGGCTGTGCTCGAGGGGGGGCCAGCTGGTGTAATGCAGAGTGCTGGCAGCCTTTGGCAGGAGTTAAAGCAAGGTACGATGAAGCTGATGGCGGGGAGGGGACGAAGGAGGGAAAGGGGTGGACATTTAAAAAAAATTAGAGAAAAAAACTCCCAGGAGCCCTGGTTGGAAAGTGAAGTTGAGATTCTAAAGCCGCCTGAGTCAAACCGTGTGATTCCATCCTGTTCCCAAATGCTCACTAAAGCAAGAGGTTGAAAGCAATTACTGGAACTTAGAGGTGGGGGGGGGGAACCTGAAGGGATAGCAGAAAGCTCTGTGCGCGAAGAGGAGAAGCTGCCACCAGAGCTACCAATTATAAAGTTTTCAGCGCGGAGCTCCCGCTGTGTCGGTGGAGAGAGTGTCTGCATCAGGAGGGGAGATCTGTCAGCTCTAATGAGAGCCATGACAGAGCGAGAGCGTCGCAGCCGCTCAAACTTCCAGCCAACTCTACTCCGGCTGCTGCTTTTAACTCCCTCCTCGCCTGGCTTCCTGCTCCACTCCCAGTGAAGGAGCCGCATCCGCAGGGGCGGGGGCCAGCGGGAGGAGGGAGGCAGCCTCTTTGGGTGTCTCCTGGATTGCAAGTGGGGCCCAAAGTTTGAGGGGATGAGGCGGAAAGGGAAGGTGACACGAAGAGAGATGGTGTCAGGTCCCATTGCCTCTCCACCGCTCAAAATCTCTCCTGGTGCCACAACGAATATTTCACCCTTCCCCGCACTCTGAGAAACAAACACACACAATTAAAGCAATGTTGCACAAGTGGGCGGATGGGTGGGTAAGGGAAAATGGGAAGGAGTGTGGTGAGGGGGTATAGAGAGGTAGGATCTGATGCACCGACAGTGGGCAGGGGAAATACAGGCTCACTGGTAAGGAACAGAGGGGGTGGACAGGAGAGGCTGATGATGGGAAGGAGAGAGCGAGAAGATGAATGGGGAGAAGTGGACCAGGTCCTCCGATGGAGGAGGGAGGAATGAATACAGAGCAGAGTGACAGCCACCTGGGAAGCATAGAGAGACGGCACCAGAGAACAGAGGAGTGGGAGAAGGGAAGGAGATTGGGTGGTGGGAGGAGATGGTGGATGGATGGGAGAAGGGAGGTGTGGATGGATCTACATCTATAGAGGCATGGAATTACTCTGTTTTGCAATAGATTTTTCATCCCAGCACATAGAGCAATGCCTGTACAGCCAGAGGCGTGGGCATGGCAGGCAGACACCCCAGCAGCCATCAGCACACGTCCAGGTCTTCCTCCCCAGTAGGAAAAAGCAGCTCTTTAGCGGGCCAGAGAAGCAATCCCATGGACAAGTGCACGGCTTTCAGGAACGTTCAATGTTACTGGGAAGATGCTAGCGGGGGGGTTAGACCACAGCACCGGCAGCCTCTCACCACGGGAGAGGAAGGAAGGCCCAGGGACAGAAGAGAATAACCCTGGTCTGTCACATAGCGGCACTCAGAGAACGTTGGCCAGACAGTGCCAGGCACATGGGGGGCCAAGCAAGGGATGAGAGAGGAGCTTAAGGAAGCTTGCAGCAGAAGCGCGTTTCAGCGAACACTCCCTGGGAAGCTGGGTGCTAGACAGCCCTGGGAGTTACCCTGCAGCAACAAGTAACCTCTTCCCTCCTGCTTCGCCCCACAGCTGGCGAAAGAAAGCGAGCGTCTCCAGGCAATGATGGCCCACCTCCATATGAGACCTTCGGAGCCGAAGCCTTTCAGTCAACCTGTAAGCACCAGCCTGCCTTCCCCATCTGCCGCTCATCCCCTCGAGTTTCCTCCTTCTCGGTGCCTCCATCCTTGTCCTCTCTGTCCGCCCATCCCCGTCCAGCTCTTCTAAAGCCCATTCCCAATGTCTTATCGCCACTTTCCTCTCTCGCTTCGCCCCGAGGTTTGAGCCAAGCTGTGCAGACCATATCCCTGTTACGGCCACAGTGGCAATCCAAGCTGGGCAGGGTCACCAACATACTCAGTGTCTCAAGCCCGGTTATGGCGTCCCCGAGTGATCCGCTTCTGGTTATCTCCGCCCTAGAGGCCTGGGCTTGGCTCTGGTCCATGTTGCTCCCCTTACTAGACATCCAATGCTTTAGCAGGGCATGGCTCATGAAAAGCCCAGGTGCTGACGTCCTCTGTGTTAAGGAGTCTCCGGGGAATGCTGGCCTCCCCCCCAGCCTGCTCCCTCCTGCTTGGTGCCATCACCCCGTCCTCCTGAAGGAGTTTATTCATTGGAAGGGTGGCCTTTCTCTCTCTCTCTGTCGGTCGCCTGCTCTCCCTGTATCTTCATGGCTTTTCTCGGCATCCCCAGGTCCTTCTGTTCCTGTTCGGTAGTGAACCTGTCTCGGGGCGTGAGCAAATGTATCCCCATCAGTGCCTCCTCCCCTGTCCCTGTAAAGAGCTCACTGAGCAAAATTCCAGGCCAGAAATCGGGATCATTGCACCTATCCCCTGCAAACCATACGCAGTGCCCTTAAAATCTCAGTACCTGATCCCTCGCCAGCTCCTAGCTCAGCTCTCACAAGGGCCTGGGCAGTACCTGGGGCAGACACCCCTAAGGAACCCCCGTGTGCTGCAGCGAGTAAGTCCTGATGACTCAGGTGTCAGGTTTCCTCCTGAGTTGCCCCCGTGTGATGTTCTAGCAGTGCCCTCTCTAAGGTGAGCTGTAACTCCCAGGGCTTGACGCCGACGACGTTGGGGTGATTACTCCTGAATTCCACCTGCTGTTTCAGTGAGAGGCAGGATTCTATAATAATAATAATACTATATGGAGATACACCGATCTCATAGAACTGGAAGGTCATCGAGTCCAGCCCCCTGCCTTCACTAGCAGGACCAAGTACTGATTTTGCCCCAGATCCCTAAGTGTCGCCCTCAAGGATTGAACTCACAACCCTGGGTTTAGTAGGCCAATGCTCAAACCACTGAGCCATCTTCCTGTGCATAATGCTTCACTTCCTGTTCTGTTCAGCAGCTGCCCACAGTCTCATCCCAGAGCTGGCTGAATTTCGGCAGGGGGTGAAGTGGTCCCTGTGTATAGTTGGTATGTCGGCTTGCAAAGTGCTTCGGGACTAAGACGCTCGGGGCTGGATCCAAGTTGCACTGAAGCCCGTGGGGGCCTTTCCAGTGACTGCAATGGGAGCTGGGTCAGGCCCACTTGGAGCTGTAATGTGTTGATAGCAGAGTTTTCCTGCAGCTGGTTTGATCCATGAGATCCTCCTTTAGTGCCCATCCCCCTGGGTCAGAGGGCCCTGTGCGCTCTCCCGTGTCTCACAGCATGGAACCGAATCACTCTCCCTACCTAAGACCATCTCCACATCCGTTCCCAACTGCTCTCAATTTCTTCCGCCCATGTCTGTGCAGCTGAACCTGGTCTCAAGCGCCACCCTCTCCAAGAGCACTTCAGATACCTTTCCAGATGGCTTACCTCATCCCCCCACCTCCGCCACCGCCCCCATCACTCCCTTGCGGCAGGGCCCATCCGTCATCAGCTCCTCCACCTTACAGACCATGGGGGCCATTCGCAGGAGAAACCCTGAAAAATTCTGCCCCCCAATATCTTCAGGTAAGAGCGGCGGTGGGTGGGTCGTTGATGCTCATGTGGTATGAGTTACTAGATTTGGTTCCTTCATATTCTCTCTCTCCCCCTCTCCAGAGCTTGCACAGAATCACGAGTTTTACAAAAACACAGACGTCCGGCCGCCCTTCACGTATGCCTCACTCATCCGGCAGGTGAGGAACGCCCGCCGGCTCCGGGGGGCTGTGAAGGCAGCTATGTCCCGACGCGGTAGGCTGTTTGTGATTAGAACTGAGAACTGGGAGGCCAGACTCTGGGTTCCATCTCCAGCTCTGCCACCGACTCGCTTTGTGATCTCCGGGGCCCTAGTTAGCAAATCAGGATAACAACTCCACAGGGAAGCACGGAGAGGGTTAATTCCTTAGGGGCCAGATCCTCGGCTGGTGTAAACGGGTGTAGCTCCATTGCTCTGGTTGTGTGCAGCTGACTTGGAGATCCTCAGGGAAAAGGCACTTCAGTTGTGTAAGTTGTCCATAGTCATATTTATTTCACAAAAATGATGACGGTGCATTTAAAGACCTGCCTCTGCGAAGTGGGTTCCCAGTGGGTGGGCATCTGCCTCACCAACACCACTGGACACTGGTTGTCCCCTTTTACTGTGAGTCTCATCAGAGAGGCCCAAGAACTGCTCCATGAAGGTGGAGATCCCCTCTTCATCCATAGTGTTGATCCGTCCTGATGCAGTGTTGGAGGGGAGGCCGGCCTTGCCTGTGCTATATTTGCTCTGTGGATAATTGGGGAACCCCAGTCTCCAGGGTCATCAGCCATCACCTTAAAATCCAGGCGAGACGGGGCATAGAGGGACTCAGAATCCCTGCCAGTGGCTCTGTGCTGTCTGGCCATTTGGGTGGAGCACAGGCGCCATGGAGCAAACCCAAGGACAGGAGCTGGGGCGTCGGGTATAGTCTGTGCCACTCCGTCAGCCTCTCTCAACCCCTCCAGCCCCACGGATCAAATGTGTGAGCCTTTGATTTGCATATGCAAATATACTTATGAAGAAATGCAAATCGGAGCACTCCTATTGTTCGCTCTTTGGCTCGGGGGGGGGGGGGTGTCTTCAAAAGCCCATGCCTGACACAGACAAGGTTCGTTTGGAAGGGTGATTTCTGCCACTGTAACTCCATTTAACTCCTCTTTGGACAGCAAGATTAGCTGAGAGTACGTCTTCACTACGGGGGGGGGGTCGATTTAAGATATGCAAATTCAGCTACGCGAATAGCGTAGCTGAATTCGACGTATCGCAGCCGACTTACCCCGCTGTAGGGACGGTGGCAAAATCGACCTCTGCGGCTTCCTGTCGACGGCGCTTAATCCCACCTTCGCTGGTGGAGTAAGAGCATCGATTCGGGGATCGATTGTCGCGTCCCAACGGGACGCGATAAATCGATCCCCGAGAGGTCGATTTCTACCCGCCGATTCAGGCGGGTAGTGTAGACCTAGCCTCAGCTTTCTCTGGAGTTAGATAGTTGGTTCGGCGCATGCAACCTTTTGGGAGCACGGTCCAGTGGGTAGGGCACTGGGATGGGAGTCAGGAGACCACCACTGAACTGCTGCATGCCCCGGGGCAAGACGCTCCCTCTGCAAGGCTTGTGTGCTTTGACATCTATGGGTGAGCCCCTTCGTGATCCAGACAGAACCTCTGACTCTTCTGCAGCTCGCCCATCATGGTTGGCAGACGCGATCAGTGATACAGGCTCTTGGGATTGATGCTTTATAAGTAATTGGTTTGGGTTCCCCCCCTCCCCCCCTCTGAATTCCAGGCTATCCTGGAGACCCCAGACAGGCAGCTAACGTTGAATGAAATCTACAACTGGTTCACGCGGATGTTTGCCTACTTCAGGAGGAACACCGCCACCTGGAAGGTAAAGCCCCGCCTGGGATTTCATTCTTCACCTCCTCTCCATCAGCTGCAGAACTCGCTCGGGGCACTGGTGGTACATGGCAGGGTCTGCTGCCGGGGTGGCTTTCATTAGAGGTGGGCTCCAGATCACAGCTACATAGTGCAGCTATGTATGCATCCAGGAGAGGTACTTTTCCCTCTGACTCCCGCCTATTGAGGTGGTACTTTGGCGGCTTCTCGACATTGGAATATGGGGTTGTGCGGGGGGAAGCAGGGATTTGCTGCAGATTTTAGCTGAGCCGTACATCCAAGAAGGGCCTTGAGCTGTCCCTGAGTTGCTCCGTCCCCAGCGAATCACTGTCTGATAATGTTGTCCCGTTGCCTCGTGAGTGACCGTTGATGGCATTCTCACAACCTTGTTGCATTGCCTGACGGCGCCGTGTAAAGCCACGACACGGACAGGTCCGTCGGTCTGAGACAAGCACCGGGGGTGGCAGGAGTGAGTGGAAGGATGGTGTTACGTTTCCCTGAGCAGTCGGAGCATGACTCGGGATGGGCACAATTCTCCTAACAGCGTGAGGCCTGTGAGCCACGGGGTCCCTCTGAAGCCCTAGGATGTAAGTGGTGCACAGGAGGAAATGTCCCCTTGTTCCCCCGGGTTAATAGAGAACTTCCCATTTCCAAGTGTCCACTCGCCCGTGTTACAGGGCAAAACCACCCTGCAGGACTTCCCAGCCGTGCGTCACCCCCGTGCATCCATCATGCAGGCAAACACCCTACGTGCCAGAGAGGTGGGCTCAACTGGGCAGCTGGCAGAGTTGGCTTTTCATCGTCTGGCCTTGTATAAAGACAGAACTCTGTTGAACTACACCTGTTTTGTGGGCCGCTGGATGGTGTGTGCCAGGGTGCCCCCCGGGGGGGAAAGGGGAGGATTATGGGATTGGGGTGGCAGATTGCGGGGTTTCCGAAGGGGGTTACAGAGCAGCTAGTGTGCGAGCACCTAACTTACCTCTCTGTCTGTCTTAGGGCTTCCTGTAATGCCTCTCTCTGTAGCATCTTGAGCAGTGACGAACTGATCCCCAGGGGGATTGAGCACCTGTAGTTCTTAATGAAATCAGCGGGAGCCCCAAGTGCTCGGTTCCGCTGCAAAATCAAACCCTTCTTTTTTCTAAGCATTTATCTCCGCCCCTCCCCGCCATGTGTCCTCAAACTCCAGGGAAGGTTGGAGGTGAATGGCCGCTCGCTAGGGTTTGCACTCTCAGGTAGGGGCTGTTCAGTCCTCCCAGGGCATCGTGCAGGAGCGAGCGGCTCCCTCAAAAAGGCTCAGGAATTAGGTCTCAAGCTAAACCTGTACATCTTGGGTACAGAAGAAAGGTATTTTTTATTTTTTTAAAGGGAAAAAAGTTAGACTCTAGAAATAGAAAATAAGGTTAATGATAACCCAGGGGCTGGTGTCTCACTGCAAATAAAGACGCCTCAGCCAAGCTGTAGAAGTCTCCAGCGCCACCATGACTCTTGCTAGGGTACCGATTCTCATCTGAGGGGATGAGGTTCTGTGTGAGCTGGCTGCCGCCTGTCTTTCACCTTGGCAAAGAAGCGGGTGAAAAGGGCTTGTTCTGAGAGAGAAAGGATGGTTTTACGGGTCAGGCACCAGCGTGGGGCTCTGGAGACCTGGCTTCAGCTCGCGGCTCTGCCACAGACTGGCTCCGGGACCTTGTGCAAGTTGTTTCATCTCTCTCTGCCTCAGTGTCCCCTCTGTCAAGTGAGGCTACCAGTCCTCCTTCTTTCCCTCCCTGTTCAGACTGTAAGTTCTTTGGGGCGGAGGGGCTGTCTCTTACTGTGTACGTACAGTGCCTTGCACAACGGAGTCCTGCTCAGCCTCCCCTCCCCGTTTGTTGGGATTCATGGCACCAGGACGAGACAGGGTTCCCCAGGCAGGGCAATGGGGCTGTGATCTCTACGTGCCATGGAAGTCGAGTCTCCATAGAAGCCTAGAACGCCCAAAACCTGAGCTTCCAGGTGTATGCAGGATTAACCCTGGGAAGTCAGTAAATTTGCACCCACTTACCCCAGGCCTGAAGTTGGCCCTTTGGGCCTGCGGTTCACTGTGCACCTCCCCTCCATTATTCAGGTTCCAGTGTTTCTTGGCGCCTTTTCCATTCAACGGTTCTGGTCTAGATCTGGAGAGACCCTCACGGGGGGGCTGCAGGGAAGGGCCGGGGGAGCACCATCTCCAGTGGGGAAGGGGCAGGGGTCGCATTCCTGCTGCTGGACACCGCTGCTTTTCAGTCAGCGCCCCCCTCACCTCCCACCCCCATCGCATCTTCCAGACATGACATAATTCCACCGTGTCACAGGCAGACCCTGATACAATCACTCCCTCAGACGGGAAGCCAGAGTCATTGTGTAGCCTCAACCCTGATAAGAGCTCAGCCCAGCCGGCTGCCTATTAACTGAACTGAGAGGAAGCGGCAGAGGGGGATAAACTGAAGGGAATTGTCTCCAATGGAGTCTGGAATCCTTGACTCACCTGCAAGCTCCAGACTGTTCTTTATCATGTGTCTTGCGGTTGTGCTTCGAGACCCTGGCTAAATCAGAGCCTCCTTGTGCTTGGTGCTGTACATAGCCGTAGTGAGAAGCAGCCCCCTACCCCCAAAGAGTTTACAATCTGAATACGACAGGGGAAGACAGAGGCACAGAAAGGGGAAGAAGTGACTTGGCCGAGGTCACGCAGCAGGTCAGCGGCAGAGCCGGGAATGGGACCCAGGTCTCCTGTCCTCTGCAGCAGCATTCCTCTCAGTGGACCTGACCCCCGGGCCGGTGGGGGTAGTCACATTACTCATGCCTAGTATTGCTAGTGCCTGTGAAGTGCTGGGGAGCTTTGGGTGCTGGAAGACCTCCCTGCACAAGCCTCAAAAGCCTAGCGAACCTCCATGTTCAGGGCTGTGGCTCTTTTGGTTTTCACCCATCCACCCCCCTCGCCCTTTATGGCTTGATCCTTCTCTGCTCCATCCCCCACCGATGGTCCTCATCCTCTTTTGGGTTGCTTTTATTACCACCATTCCTCCCTTGTATTATTTGTACCAGGACTTCACTGCGCTAGGCACTGTGTAACCAGGACAGTCTCTGCCCCCAAAGAATTTACAACCCAAGTCAAATGCTCCTAATGGCGTCCTACGCCAATGCAAGCGGGCGTGAGCAAGTCACCAAGCTGGCTTCTCTGTGCCCCGGACGGCATGGCCTTAAGCGGACCTCGATTAGTGCAAAGCTTAGAAAGTTTGTTTCAGGGCAGTGCCCAGAAGTATGGGTGAATTATCCCAGCCTTGAATGACACCAGGCGGGGAATCGCTCAAATAGGTGGTTCTTGGGCTGAGGTTGGTACTGCCCACTGGCTCAGAAGTCCCATCAGAGCTGTCTCTCTTGCAGCTTTCATTGCTTCCAGCTCTGGAGCTCAGACGTTCAGGGCTGCTGAGAGCGTAGGGGGTGGGAATATTAAAGCTCAAAAGAGGGTTCGGCTGGTGGGGGGAGAGGCTTCTTATTTTAGCCAATCCAGTTCACTCCCCCTTAGTTGGCATGTGCCTCTTATAATGAATAGTTTGCTGCTGGTTGTACCGCTGGCTAGTGGTGGTTTGTATAGGAAGCTGTTCAAGGGTATAAGAAGAGAACGGATGGTCCAATGGTTAAAGCACTGGACGTGGATTCAGGAGAACTGGGTGCAGGTCCCAGCTCTGACACAGACTCCGTGTGACCTTGGCCATGTGAGGTAATCAGTTTGGGCCCCAGTTCCCCGTCTGTAAAACGGGTTTAATAATCCATTCTTCATCTGCCGTGTCTGTTTCAACTGGGAGGTGTCCGGGGTAGGGACTGTCCTGTACTATGTGTGGTTGCAGCGCCCAGCAAAATGGGACCCCAATCTCAATTTGAAGCATCTAGGCACTGCCATAATGGGAAAAATTACTAAGAGAGACTTGTTCATGTTGCGGTAGCACAAGCACTCACTCACAATCAACATGAGGAGCTGTCGCTTTGGTTTTCAAGTTCTCTGTTACTGTTCTTTAGAAACCCCACTGTGCTGAGATCAGTAAGGGCTCCCCATTTCCCGCTGATGCCAGCTCCCAGCGCAGTACCGCCTTGCTGCAGAGCACCTTGGAATGCGTTGACGCTGACAATTCACTCCTAATTGCTCTGAGCTCCAGCCACAGACAGAGGTGAATAGCTGATCTGTTTGAGGACAAAATGTGAGCTTGGGAAAGATTTCCAGTCTTGTTTGTTTAGGAATTTATAAAATCTGAGATGACAGAGACAGAAAAATATCTATTAAGTGGCATCTACTCCATCCACCTGCCAGGCCAGCGTTTTTTCCCTGGTATGTATCAATTTGTAATACAACAAAATTCAGCTCGCTTTAACTCAAAGTAACATGGATCAAAGCACTTAGAGGGGCACTATGAATATAAAACTTAAAAGAAATATCTTTATCTGTGATTCAAATAACATCTTTTAGGATCACACTTTTTATACTAATGATGCATTCTTGAAGGTCTAATAAATGATTGCTAGATGTTTTAATCAATTATTATAGATTTCAACAGCTCAATAAGTCACTTATAACCATGGTTTATGACTAGAGCTTATCACAATGTTTTTTTTTTTCCTCTCTGGAAAATTTTGACTTTTCATTGGAAAAAATGTTTTTGATTCTGAAATGCCACCACAGCATCTCATGGGATTTGTAGTTCAAATGTCTCATGCCCACATTCTCCTTTATAGGCCAGGGTCCCTAGTTGAACTGCCTCTCCCATGATGCACTACTGCCTTCCCTCAGGGGCAAAGAAGGCAGTGCATCATGGGAGTTGCACAACTGTGGTGTCATTTCTAAATCAAAATATTTCAGTTTCTAGGCAGTTGTGTTTTTCTTTTTAAATACAAAGTTGAATTTTCTGCAGAAAGCAGACGCTTCTCTCTCTCTCTATATATATATATATACACACACACACACTTACACACTTTATCAAAAACCCA